AGTTGAAAATTATATTCTTGACCCAAAGTAAGCCTTATTGCCGTTTATATAAGTGTAATATACTTGTATACATCGCAAACCTGCAATGGAACGTACAGCAACTGTCGGATATGCACCGCGTTCTCTCTCAGCTCGCTGAGTTTCTCGCCGGATCTTCTCAGCGGGTCGCGATTCCGATCAGGTTGCAGATTCATTTGTGAAGCAGCTGATCTTGAGTTGTTAGGTCTCTTTCGGAGGCGATCGGGTACCCGTCCTGGCTGAGCCTTTGCTAGCTCACCTGTCCTGGTGAAACTGGAAGGCCTCCGGGCCACCAGTAATACTTCTATCATAAAAAAACCGCGTTCTCTCAAAACTGGAGATTCTGCGCTTTAGATATTTCATCAGTTTCTCTGATGTTATAAAATGTATTCTTTGATTATTTTTTTAATAGGTATAGTCACACGCTTTATTAAGAAAAAGTATATTATACATTTATGCATTTACTTTTTAGGATTCCAGTCCTGAAAGAAAAAAATGGAACTCCACCATTTTTTTCTACACCTGTCTATCTGCCCTTCACTTAACATCGTTTAAAACTTACGTCTGCAGATAAAGTTTTTTAAGTTGTTGTTGCATTTTCAAGGAACTCTAAAAGCCTTAACTTGCATGAGCTTACTACTCACAATGGTCAGGTTTTTTTACATTTATAACAATTTTTTTTGGAAAATCAATGTTTAATTAATTATCTGTATTAACTCGGCGTTCCGTCATCACTAGCATGTATGTATCATACTATAATAAATTTTATTCCATTTACTGAAATTCATGAATATATAAATACATAAGCGTTATGCTCGACCTTGTTTTTAAATCACTTACTGCTTTTTTAATTGAGGTTTATTTTTTATACATTAGCAAAGAATGCTGACGAAGAAAAAAGGAATAGAAGCTTCTCAGCATCAGAGATACTGCGTTATATTTAAATTTAAATTTATTTTCCAGTCCGAGTAAAGAGCTTCGAATAGGAAACATAAAATAAATCGATGATCTAAAAAATGGGTCCCATTGCTACTGTTTCCGAAAGATACTGTATGTGTTACTAAGCCGGTTCACCCTCTTAGACTTCCCTTGTTCAAAGTAAACGTATTGAAGCGGAATGTTCCACATCAGAGGTAAGGTAAAAGCAAGTATTCATGTTTAATTTCACCCTGTAAGAGAGCACGTAAAAACTCTTTTATCTGGACCCGAATTCTTGGTGAAGAATTTCGATTCATTCGTTTTGAAATTTTCATAGTTCGGAATAAATACAGAAGTTTATCTTGATTTCTTTATTCATACAAAAAACACACAGGCTACAATCAAAGTTTTGTGATCAAAACAAAACAAAACTGTTTAGTCTCATTCTTAACACTACTGAAATGTCTCATCATGACGCGATCGTTGCGAGTTGTACGAGAGCATCGGTTTCTTGAATCTAATTGCGCGCCACCTGCCGTATGTTGATGTTGAAAAATCTTCCCTAAAATACTAACAACTGTGCTAAATGTTATCTTAATCGGATGAAGTTTAAATACGAATAGAAATAAAAAAGAGGAAATTCAAAAAACGTATAAATACTCATTTTAATTCATGTTAATAATTATTACGACTCGAAGTCGTCGTGGCCTAAGGGATAAGACGTCCGGTGCATTCGTGTTGAGCGATGCACCGGTGTTCGAATCCCAGGCGGGTACCAATTTTTTCTAATAAATTACGTACTCAACAAATGTTCACGATTGACTTCCACGGTGAAGGAATAACATCGTGTAATAAAAATGAAACCCGCAAAATTATAATTTGCGTAATTACTGGTGGTAGGACCTCTTGCGAGTCCGCGCGGGTAGGTACCACCGCCCTTCCTATTTCTGCCGTGAAGCAGTAATGCGTTTCGGTCTGAAGGGTAGGGCAGCCTTTGTAACTATACTAAGATCTTTAGAACTTAAATCTCAAGGTGGGTGTCGCATTTACGTTGTAGATGTCTATGGGCTCCAGTAACCACTTAACACCAGGTGGGCTAGTGAGCTCGTCCATCCATCTAAGCATTAAAAATAAAAAAAATATTAACTCATGTAAAGCAAATTGTGCTTTAATATAAGTATTATTAATTGCAAAAAAGGTAGGAAACCCTCAATACATATTTGCCTGTAGTTGACACGCTACACTGAACTATACTAAGATCTTAGAACTTATATCTCAAGGTGGATGGCGCATTTACGTTGTAGATATCTATGGGCTCCAGTAACCACTTAACACCAGGTGGGATGTGAGCTCGTCCATCCATCGAAGCAATAAAAAAATAAATAATGATAATAATAATTTTTCAATACCCTTTTTGAAGAAGTCAGATGTACGGGACAAACTCTTCAAAGGCATTGATTACTTACAGCCTCTCTGGTATTCCATTTTTTCATTGCCAAGAAGTTGCCCAAACTTTGGAAAAAGTAGAAGTCTATCATCGCAAGATCTAGTCAGTACGGTGTTGACGCAAAACTTTCAAACCTAGGTCTTGTAGCTTGGAGGCCGTATGTTGTCGCCTAAAAGTAGCGGGGAAGAGCGATTAACCAAGGTTGACTCAAAATTCGCGAGCTTCTCAAGCTTTGTATTCACTTCCTCGCAGTACAGATCAGCGGTAATGCTGGTACGGTTTGATAAGAAGCTGTGATGAATTATACGGGCACTAGACCACCAAACAGTCACCATGGCTTTTTAGGGGTATTTTTTCGTTTGGAGTATTGCCTAGGTTTTATTTGCATAGGTGGTTGGACAGCCCACCTGGTGTTAAGTGGTTACCGGAGGCCATAGACATCTATAACCTAAATGTCACCCCCCACCTTGAGATATGAGTTCTAAGTTCTCAGTATAATTACAACGGCTGTCCCACTGTTCATACCGAAACGCATTACTGCTTAATGGCTGAAATAGGCGAGTGGTGGTACCTACCCGTGCCAACTCAGTAGAGGTCCTACCACAAAAGGATCTGAACAACAAGAAAGCAGAAGAGCGCTTACTATTATCAAAAAGAATCCATATTATCATCGCAAGTGACAATGTGGTTTAAAATCTTTTCGTTTGTTAAGCAACGCAAGAGATATAAACTTTAGCGCGTTCCTCGCGCTGGCAATCGTTCAGTTCATGTGGCACCCGCTTATCAAGTTTTTTTAACCATGCAATTTTGACACAAATTAACCAATAATGTTTTGATGCTAAACTAGAAAGCTGCGGCTAACTCAACAGTACTATGAGTATCGTCAGCTTCCACCACCGCCTTTAATTTTTCATTGTTAACTTTAGCTTTCAGGCGACCACGAGGTTAATTTTTTTATCAAAATTTCCATGTCAAACGTTCAAACCAACGTAGTACTCCGTACACATCATCAATGTCGCGATCCGTTTGTATGTGTATGGCAATGCTATGCCACCGCGAAGGAACTTGCTTTCATAATTACTAGTATTTTTATCCAGTCCAGTCAAACAGTTTGAATATGAATACTATAACAATAGGTATTCTCAAATCTTTTAAATTTGAAGACTTGGAGAGCCAAGTTCAAATTTCTTTGGATATCTTGGTACTCTGTACCATTTCTCTTTTTGATCTATACCTACTATACCCATATAACGGGCTTAGGACTTTTTGGCGGGAACGCGAGGAGTGAAGTTGTGTGATTTGTTTTATTAAAATTTTGTCTATTTAGTGTTTCTTCGGGTTTAAATGTGTAATAATGGTGGTTTATTAACTGTTTAATATCTGTGAGAGTGCACAAATGTGGGAAAATGAAACAAAGCCGCTGGACGAAACTTCTCGGGACCCTCCAAAAAGTCCACTGAAAAAATCTTAGTAAATGACCACCATTTTACTGAGATTATATTTCACCCCATTTCATTTCATTTCATTTCATCCCATATTTCAAATTAATCATCTTCATTTCATTTCACTCCATAATATCATTTTTCATAAAAATATGAATATGAATTAAAATAAGACATCACTTAAAGGTTTCAGTTACCAGGTCATAAAATATCTTAAAAAAAACCGTGCTTAATTTGTGATTTAAAAACATAAGAGGACTGGACTTTTTGGCGGGAACGCGAGGAGTGAAGTTGTGTGATTTGTTTTATTTTGTCTATTTAGTGTTTCTTCAGGTTTAAATGTGTAATAACGGTGGTTTAATAACTGTTTAATATCTGTGAAAGTGCACAAATGTGGGAAAATGAAACAAAGCCGCTGGACGTAACTTTTCGGGATCCTCCAAAAAGTCCACTGAAAAAATCTCAGTAAATGACCACCATTTTACTGAGATTATATTTCATCCCATATCATCTTGTCTCATTTCATTTAATTTCATCCCAGCTGATTAATGTCTCAAATTAATCATTACATTTCATTTCATTCCATATTATCACTTATCATAAAAATAAGAATATTGGTAAATTAAAATAAGACATGACCTAAAGATCTTAGTTACCAGGTCATAAAATCCCTTAAAAAAACATAAGACGACTTTTGGCGGGAACGCGAGGACTGAAGTTGTGTGATTTGTTTTATTTTGTCTATTTAATATTTCTTCAAGTTTAAATGTGTGATAACAGTGGTTTATTAACCGTTTAGCATCTGTGAAAGTGCACAAATGTGGGAAAATGAAACAAAGCCACTGAACGTAACTTTTCGAGATCCTTCGAAAAATTCAACTGAAAAAGTCTCAATAAATGACCACCATTTTACTGAAATTATATTTCACCCCATATCATCTCATCTCATTTAATTTCGTTTTCATTTCATTTCATTTCATGCATAGACCTTTATAGTATACTTCAGTGATTTCATGCTATGTTTCATATTAGTCAACTTCATTTCATTTCATAATATCATTTTTCATATGAAAAAGTTTTCGTTAAAATTAAAATAGGACTTGACCTAAAGGTCTTAGTTACCAGGTCATAAAATCCCTTAAATTTTTTTTCATGAAAAACACATTTATCGACATCAGTTGATATTAGTGCCATTTCAGTTCGAAAAATTTATGAATGAGTTTTCTATTTAAAGCTCCAACTCGTAATTAAATTTACTAACGTAGTGTTAATATCTTTGAATAAATTAATAATAATGCAGCAGTTTACCTTATTCTTTGTTGTACATTTAACTGCACTTTTTGCGTCTACGGTAAAGAGATATTACTTTATTTTCATTCAAATGTTTCAATAATTTTATGTATTAAAAGGCTTCATATTTTTTAGGCATGTATAGATTATGATGGTTTTTTGAACATGAAACTAGAACACTCTTTAAATTGCAATGATGAAAAATTTTGTCATAGAGGAAGTATAACTTTGAAGAGCATAAGAACGGGAGTTCCTATTATTGATCAAATACTATTCAACGAAAAGCATCTTGAAGCACTGAAGGTTTTGTATTCTTACCACTTTGATTCCTGTTTGGTTAGAGGTTGTTTGGCATAGAACGAAAGACCAAAACAATTTGAATAAACCAATTTTTATTACAGAAACTAGCAAATGAAGATGAATTCTATTCAATTAAAACAACAATTACAACAGGTGAAAACAGCAAAGGAACTGAATATTTATCATCGGTTAAAGCTCAAGCATTTTTGGAAAATGGTCTCTCTGATGTTATCAATGCATGGATATTACCTAATGGAGCTGTTATTGCAGTCAATTTCCAAGTTGCTAACTCTACGCAACCACTAAAGCAAGCCACTAATGAGTATAAGCTCAATTCTAAATTCTACTTAAGATATATTGAGCAAGCTCCAGTGTGAGTAAAATAATGTCTATCCAAAAATTATTTACAAATTATTCTTAGCTTAAACATAATTTTCTCAATAGCAAAATTTTATATATCTAAAAAAAAAATTATCAGATTAGAGCATCAATTAAAAGACAATACATTGCATTATTTACGTATATGTATCATTGTTCGTCGAACAAATATTTGAAGGCATCTTTCTTCTTCCTACAAACCTAAACTTAAGTTTGGTAAAATGTTTTCACACTAATATGTTGATCTGAAACTTAATGATTGTAATTCCAGGTCAGTTTGCATTTCTAAGTTGCTTGACTGTGCTGGCCTTTTCAAATTTTTCTGTGAGCCACCACATGTCTTCTGATAGTAGACATCACATACTCTTTGGTCTAGTCACATATCAAGGACTTCAGATTCACAGTGGTGACACTGCCGTTTATACATGCAATGGGTTCATGCATTCAATGGGTTTTTCAGTGTGAAAAACCCATTGAAATTCATTGAAAGGTGTTCTTGGTTCAAAAAATTGAGTATATTAGTAATGCCTTAAACAGTCAACCAAATTAAACATAATACCAATTATCTTTAAATTAGTATATTGAAGTACTCTATAAAGTATTGAAAATTGGTCTTGATCAGCTGTTGCAAAGAATTCTAATAAACATACAAACAAAAAGACAGTAATTATATTATTAAATGTTATGTAATTAACCAGTATTAACAAGTAAGTGAATCATTATGTTTCAGTCCCGATACTGCATCATATATACAAAAAATGGAACGTGACAGAGAGGCACGTGAAAAGGGAGAAATGAAGGATAACAGGTCATTCCTAGCTAAATATGTAAGTTCACTATTAAAAAGTACAGATTATAAAATAAACTAAATATATTAAGTAGGTTTACAAAAAATCACCCTTGATCATATCACAAATCTGGCTTTCGAATGAACTCCTCTCCAGTGCTTCCTAAGTGACATGTTCCTCATCAAATGAGATTTATGGAAATTTAGCAATAAGCAGCAACATCACTTTGCCCCTAATATGAATATCCGCAAATGACAATGACCACTTACTACAAGGTGGGCCATGTGATAATTTGCTTACTAAGGCATTAAATTCAAAATCCTGAGACTGTTACTGGAATGCTGCCATTTGTTCTCGCTCAAAGGACTTGACATTTGTTATACAACATAATTAAGATCTAGAACTGCAGGTGGAATATCAGAGTGGGTGACATCATTATTGCCTGTTGGCACATATACACACTTAACATCAGATACTATTTAAGATAGTCTACCAATGTAGTGCAATAAAAAAGAACTCTTATTTTTTAATATTGTTTTCTGGTGTCACTAATAAATTAATTCTGGCTTTGATAATTGAATGTGGACTGCTTAAAATAGGCTTGAATAGTAAAAAAATCTAACAATCTTGGTTTTCAGTATAATTTCTATCACTACATATAACAAGTACTGTTTTGGTTTCAGTGGATGTATATTGTTCCAGTAGCAATATTTGTTATGATATCAGGAGCCACAAATCCAGAGGCCTCGGCACCAGCTGGACGTTAATACTGTTTTATAACTCAATTATGTTCTTAAGTAATTAATTTATTGAAGTTTATAGTGTATTACAAACATGCAAATAGGAAATTGGCTAATGTGTTATTAAAACCTAAAAGGTGTAGTGAGCATGCTGAAACAATTTAAATCAGATAATAAAGTTCTGATCTAATGTGATTGTATTACATGCATTTTTTTGTTTGTTTTTTATTAGACGAGAGGAGATCCTATAGCCCTGTCAATGCAATATAAAATTTATCGCGCGCTTGTATGTGACGAATATTTTATAAAATACCGGACACTGTACTCGTCGAACTTGTCGGTTACGACGAATAGCTCGAGCTAACTTATAAGAGTCAATGAGTTTCTCGCCGGATCTTCTCAGTGGGCCGCGATGCCGATCCGGTGGCAGATTCTGCGAAGCACTGCTCCCGCTATGGCTGGGGCTAGCCAATTCTCTCAAGTTTAACCCGTGAGCTTTTACCAACCCATCCACACGAAGCTGGAATAGGAATAGAATAATAGGGAAAAAAGTGGCTGATACATTCACCTCTCATTAGAACAAGTGGTGAAGTGGCGGCATATCAAACGGGAGCTAACGCAATATCTAAATACTTTGGCACCCTGCTTTGAAGTCGCGTCGCGAAGTCCAACTGCATAGGACTGATCCGACTTCCTAAAGTTGTTGTGGTTGCAAGTGTGTAAATTCCTACCAAGACGCAAAAATGGCGCTCAAACTTCCGAACTACCGTTTTCAAGAGCAAGAGAATACTCTATTTTTAATTATTTATATAATGAACTCTACACTAAATAGACATTTATTTGGATATATATTTTTTTATTGAATATTCACTATTTTTGTTAGTTGTTTGCCATAAGTAATAAATACAAATAATGTGTTTTGTAATGTAAAAAAATCCTTCCTGAAGAGCTTAAAGCAATATTATAATTTAGTAATATAATTGCAGTATCAAGACTGGAAAATGGTAATATGGTAATTGAGTAAGAAACTACAAATTTGCTTTCTACACAAACATTTATTATGATGGTTATTCTGATAAGAAGCAATAGATGAGCATTTTTAAATATAAAAAGTAGAAATGAGTTTTTTTTTTATCAAATATAATTTTGATTAAGCCCCAATCTTTTCTATTTCTTCTGCATCTTCAATATCCAGTAATTGAATTTTCTTACCAAAGTGTGCTTCAATGTCTGTACAGATCTCCATAGCTTGTGGAGAGTCTATGAGGTTAATTGCAATACCAGCTTTTCCAAATCTACCAGTTCTCCCAATTCTGTGCAGATATGTCTCACAATCTGCTTTTCTATTCATGTCCATGGGCATGTCAAAATTGACAACTAAAGTAACTTGTTCAACATCAATTCCACGAGACAAAACATTAGTTGTGATCAATACTTTTTCAAGACCCACCCGAAAGCGATCCAGTACTGCAATTCTCTGCTCAACTGTCAATTCACCAGAAAGGACAGCCACTGAGTGACCATCCTTTGACATCTTTTCAGACAACCAACTTGCAGTCTTTCGTGTATGACAAAATATAATTGCTTGACCAATTGTTATTACACCATAAATGTTACAAATTGCTCTATATTTGTCTTCTGCACTTTTGCACTTTACATAATATTGTTTTATGTTATCCAGTGATTCTTCTTCTCTCAAAAGTCTGATTATAATTGGATTAGAAACAATTATCTCAGCAAATTGCATGACTGCAGTACCATATGTTGCAGAGAAAAACATCATCTGACATGTTGATGGTAAGCATTTATGAATTCTAATGCATTGGTCTTGATGCCCTTGTCGATTGATCATGACATCTGCTTCGTCTAACACAAAAACTTTAATTTTACCCATATCAAACATGCCAAACTTGACACCCCAATCAAACATTTTTCCTGGAGTACCAATAAGAATGTGATCTGTGATTTTTGAACCCCTGGGAAGTTCTTCCCCTCTAACTGCATACTTTAACTTTATTTCAGGACAAAATTTTGCCATTTTTGCAGCAACTTCACCAGTTTGTATGGCTAGTTCATATGTGGGACTAAGACACAATACTTGAGGATAATTCTTGTTAGAGTCAACTCTGCTTAACATCGCTAAAACAAAGGCAGCAGTTTTTCCTGTACCTGATTGTGACTGGGCTATCATATTCTGTGGAGGATCAGCTAAGAGTGTAGGAAGTGCTGTTTCTTGAATTTTAGATGGAGCATTAAAACCCATAGCATATACCCCTTTCAGTAAATTTGGCTTCAAATGCAAAGCTTCAAATGTTTTTACAGAATACAATGGTGAATTAGGATCTTTTCTCTGTATTTCTATATCTAGTTTAGATTCAACTAGACCTTGCCGTATGATTTTCATTAAAAGAGAAGTATCGGCTGCATTAGGGGTATCAGGTACATCATCAGAATCTGTTTCTTGGTTATGTTTTTTATCCAAGCCCAGCCCTGCAACTTTATTTGAAATCTCCAACTCTTCTGCCTTTTGTCCCCACTGGCTAGCCATGTTTATGACTTAGAAGAATCTAAAACAAATGTAAAATTAAACTAGTATTTGTTAGTGTGCATATCACAATATAGACAAATTAAGTTCAATTCAAATGAGTTTTATTTTAATTTGAATACAATGGAGTCCATTATTTAATTATTGATTTACTGCACATTTAGTTGAGTTATTTTACAAGATCAATATATCAATTAAAAAAGAAAAAATTCCCGACGTGAATACGTAAGTACTGCGTTATAAACCACCAGCTACTATGGTCGATTGACTTTTGTATTATAATTAACAATCTAACAAAAAAATTACTAAGTGAAATATTAGTTGAACACCAATTCTTCCCAAAAAATCTTTATTTGTTCTTTGGACGTAGTAATTATTTTATCCTCATTAGTTCGCTAAGACCAACTGAATCATTAGAACTGATCCTTTCTTGTTTTTATACTTAAAATCAATGTATATGTACTTAGCCACTAACCAACTACTTATTACTACACCTTTATTTCTACTGTTTATGATCCAATAAGCGGCAACAAGCAAGACAAGTCACTCACTCACTATCAATAATTGTCAAAAGTGTTTTTTTTTATGGGATTTTATGACCTGGTAACTAAAATCTTTAAGTCATGTCTTATTTTAATTTAGATTCTTATTTTTATGAGAAATGATAATATACAGTGAAATGAAATGAAGATGATTAATTTAAGACATTAATCAACTGAGATGAAATTAAATGAAATGATATGCGATATTATAGGATGAAATATAATCTCGGTAAAATGGTGGTCATTTACTGAGATTTTTTCAGTGGACTTTTTGGAGAATCCCGTGAAGCTACGTCCAGCGGCTTTGTTTCATTTTCCCACATTTGTGCACTTTCACAAATATTAAACAGCTATTAAACCACCGTTATTACACATTTAAACCTGAAGAAACACTAAATAGACAAAATAAAACAAATCACACAACTTCACTCCTCGCGTTCCCGCCAAAAAGTCAAGGTAGACTTTTAGGTGTATTATCAGTGTAGATGCAAATAGACTGTTTTTAAGGGATTCGTCCGTCTGGTGTAGTGGTAAGTGACATGGTCACTACACTAGGGGGTCGCGGGTTCGAATCCCGCCAAGGGAAGATATTTGTATGATAAATATAAATGTCTTTTCCAGGGTTATGGATGTATATTAAATATATGTATGTGTATAATAAAAATCTTACATTTATTTCCGATATCTGGTACCTGTAACACAAGTTCTTTACGAACTTATCACGGGACCAGTTAACGTGGCGTGATTGTTAGTAAAATATTTATATTTATATTTATATTTCACTCCACAATATTATTTTTAATAAAAATATGAATATAAATTAAATTAAGACATGACTTAAAGGTCTCAACTACCAGGTCATAAAATCCCTTAAAAAAAGTCTACCGTATTTCAATAATTAATTTTGTGGTTAGATACATAAATACATAGTGGTTACACATTAATCTCATAATTATTTCATTAAAATATTTAAAAATACTACAACTAGATAAAATCTTGTTAAAAAATGTTAAAAAGTGTTCTGAAAGCACGAGCAAAGAGTTTTTTGTCAATTTCTCTAAAAAAAAGAACATTTCTTAGTAATGATTATAAATGTAACGAAAATTGGAATTCAGCAATATCAAGTCCCCTTCTAAACAAAATAAATCTTAATGATTTTTATAACAAATTGGATCAAACTCATAGCTCGAAAGGCATCATCAGTGCAATAGACGTAGACATATTCGCTAACGCTGTTACAGAACCAGTCCATTTGGAAGAACTTAAAGACCTATTACACAAATTAAGGCTTTCAGCAGAAACGGGCAGCATGCTGGAGTCAACGTCACATGCAACTGTTAGACATAGTATCAAATTTGATTATGTTGATGAATTAATACAGATGTTAAAAGATCCTTTAAATTATGGACTGTTCTTGGATGATTATAGTGCAAACATATTACTGAATGAATTACTTGTTAAAAAGAATTACACACAAGCTGCTGATGTAGCAGCACTGATAATGTTACAAGAAGAATATAATAATGATATATTATGTAGCTTATGTCAGTATTCTTCTTACATGTTCATAAAAAACTATGTTGAACCGGAGCCAGCTGTCATGGAAGAAAACAACAAAAAAGTGGAAGAAATCAAAATAAGAGTAAAGTTTTTACGGAATCCTTATTTTGATGATCATTTTGACATAAAAGATAGGTTAAAATTGGCTGGGAAAACATTAGCATGGATATCTGAAAAAACATCGAATACTTTAAACAATAACTTACAATTAATTGGTTGGTTGATATATAAGAAATATGATCAGTTATTGGCAACAAGTGAAGAATTATGTACTAATACTAAATTTAGAATTTACAATGAAGTGATTGATCTTCTAAATAAAGAGCTGCATAAGGTAGAACCAGAGAAAAAAGAAGTATTAGAGAAATGTATATCCTTACTGGCAAAAATAGAAATTATTCCTACAAAGCCTTCTTTACAAGCATCTTTAACTGACAATATTGAAAATGCTATTAACAAAACCCAGGAAAAGGATGTAGCAGCACAAAAAGAGGTAATATTATTATACTACAACTTGTTTGTGTTGTCTTCTTGAATGACAACGCATTTTCAAAAAATAAAAAGCAATTCATAAGTAAAAAATCCAAATCTTAGTTTGATACTGCAATAGCTAGTATGAGCTCCAGTCCCAATTAACACAAGTTTTTTTTTTAACATACCTAATAATTGGTACTTTTCCAATAGTTTGGTACTTTGGATTTTCCAAATTTCTTTACTGAATCTAGTACCGGATGGGAACCGTTACCCACTGAGAAAATTTGGCGAGAAATCAGTGGGTTGTGTCTGTGGCCTAGTTCGCATGTAAAACTCTTCGTCAGAGCCTGACACCTAAAAGCACTGAGAATGGATCCAGAGGATCCAACAAGGTACATCTTGCTTGACTTGCGAGACGGCAGCTTTGCTTTGCCTAGCTTGGATATATTATTAGCGGTGGCCATGATAAAAGTATTATCATGCTTCGCCACTTTTTCAAAGTAGCATTCTGACGCTTCCCTAAGATTCTTACTAGTTCTAGATTTTCTCAAGTACCATGGAGCTCCGACGGCTATCCTTGCATAGGTCATGATGGCACGTATGCAAGTTTTGTAAAGTATCACCTTGTTACAAAGGGACAATTTACTTCGCTTTCATATGATGAAATAGAGTAGACCGAGTAGGAATGCGGCTCGTTTGCTTACTGACTTAATGGTGGGACCGAATGTTATCAATTTGCCGAGAGTGACGCCTGATACTTGGCATTCGAAGCCCACGGTATGAGCGTGGCCAAGATTTTGATGGAATTAGTGCGCCTTATTCGTGACGAGATATTAGGAATCGTGTCGGGAGGGCGACTCCTTTGGAAGAGCACGGCTGTGCTTTTCGTAGGGTTGATGTCGATGCGCCACTTCCAGAACCACTGCCTTAAATTGGTAGCCACGATCTGAAGTTTACTGTGGATGAACGACATGTTCCTACATTAGTAGTAGATCGTATCATCGACGAAGAGGGCTAACTGGGTCGCCGGCGACGGGGGTATATATTTGTAAATGAAACCGTTGTGCCAGACTTTGTCGACAGTCTTCGCGATACGATAAGATATGCTCCGCGAGGCAGAGCACTTGTCGGATACACGAATGCTTGGCGCAGAATCCAAACTGTACGTTTATGATATTTATAAAAGGCTTCCTTTTGAGGTGATAAAGTCCCAGAGGCGTTTATGCATCAGTCTTTCATATAGTTTGTCTATCGCTGGGAGGAGGCTAATCGGGCAGTAGGTGGAATGTGAGCTCACACACACACTGCTAATATAAAAAATGTCTTTAATATACGATATATTTCGATTTACCCTTAGTTTGTTAGTTTAGTGGGCTATGAAATTTATGGTATGATGCCTATCGTGGTATGGGTTCTGGCCACCCCTCTGATGCATTTTGTAAATATTTTAAACTAAAACTCATTTTTTTATATAGCTAATAACTAATTATAATAAATTTCTTGTTCTAGTTATTTATTCTTTGGGAAAAAACAAGGCAGTTGAAACTTGAAGAGCAATCACATCGTCTTGACAGAGTAAAACGTGTACAGATTATTGAAGAGAAACAGAGACAACTACAAGAAGAAGAGCAAAAGCTGTGGTTCTTTGAGAATGAGGAAAAAATTGACCTTCAAATTGAAGATAAAGAAAAACTTGTAGATAAAACGCAAACAAAGAAAAAGGTTTTAACAGCAATAGATGAAAACTATATACCACCAGAAATCTTACCCAAACGACGATAATACATTATTAATACATTACAATTCAATAAAACTAATATAGAAACCTATTTCTCTTTATTTTGAGTCATAACCAAATAATAATAAATAATTGAAAAATTTAGGTTTCTTCTTTAATTTTTGCAATATCAAATTTAATTTTCTCCAAGGTATCTTCAGTCCTCTTTGCAGTTTCTGTTTTAACATTTTCTTCTAAGTCAACAATGNCGATAATACATTATTAATACATTACAATTCAATAAAACTAATATAGAAACCTATTTCTCTTTATTTTGAGTCATAACCAAATAATAATAAATAATTGAAAAATTTAGGTTTCTTCTTTAATTTTTGCAATATCAAATTTAATTTTCTCCAAGGTATCTTCAGTCCTCTTTGCAGTTTCTGTTTTAACATTTTCTTCTAAGTCAACAATGTCTCTTTGCAAAGATCCTATATCATTAACCAATGACACGATAGTTTTACATTCTGAATGCAGCAGAGCTAGTAGTTTATATGCTTTCTTTGCTTGATCATCTTTCTTTGCATCCTGTAATGAGAAAATATACTAAGTTAATTTGACTTTTGTTTTTATAATTATTATCCATTTGTATATGAAGTAGCGTCAGAATAATACTTCGCGACGCTATACCCCCATGTCGTGGCCGCCGCTATTTACATTCATTGTAAACGCCCTAGACATGTATCTGTCAGGATCTGTGATATCCACCTTCAGTGCTATCGTTCGTAATTATTATCTGATAGTAGATGCACACGCGAAACAGTTGACCTCGACTTATTATACCTCCATGAGAGGCTCTGAGGCAGTTCTCAACTTCTACACCTGGCTGAGCACATACTCGCTAACCCATCCCAGTGTAGCTGGGAAGGCCTCTAGGCCACCCCATCCAAGGTATACCCCAACCCAAGATATATAAATGTAGGATTGGTAAGAACGGAACGTATGAAAAGAGTGTGGAACGGAGCGTTAAGATGTGAGTGAGAGAAAACGGAAAGAAAGAGATAAGAGAATGACAGAGAATTGGCAGATGGCGAAGACGGTTGAAAAATGAGTACGACGTAATAAAATTAGTGTTAATTAATAATTACTATTATAATAGAAGATTTTGGAATAGTGTAACTTTTATTTTATGCGGTGCAATCCATATTCTACATACATATCTTGTAACTATCACATATTCACACTCATTCTGTGTGGGAGTGCTTGTGAACTGAAGACACTTTTCAGTCTGATTTCGATTTCTCTAATTTAAATAAATAAATTTATCTCATTAGTGGCTTTATTTAGGAAAATAATTACTTACCCTAAACAGTGTTTCATCTGCAACAGAGAAAGACCGTTCAAGCTGACCTTCTAGTATATTTATTTCTTTTTGTAGCTGTCTTGTGTCTTCTAATATTTTCTTTATTTCAATGTTTTGTTTATCAACATTGCTTATTATTTCTACAATACGTTTCGTATAGATGGATCTGAAATAAGGTATAAATTAAAAATATGGACTATTCCCACGAGGTAAGACTGCTGAAGGTCGCGGTAATGGGCTAGATGCGAGCAGTGTATGACCGCTTATGATGATCGTGTTGTTCACAAAGACCTAAATAATTCGACCATACCTTTTGTTACCACCTCTTAATTTTTCATATTTCAACTTGAGTTGATTTCTCAAATGTTCTTTTTGACCATATTCCTCTTTCATAGCTTTTGCAGATTCTTTTAAATAGCCTAACATATTTTTGTATTTATTTCTTTCAGACTGTAACAATAATTATAATATGTAATTATAAATATTAAGCAATATAGGTAATATTCGTCTAGCAACTTTAAATCCGTTATATTTATGTCGAATTTTATCTCCTTGACTCCTTGAAAAAAAGGATTTATTTGAAATTACCTCAGATCTATTCATACTCTGCTTGACATTTTCAATTTCTGCTTTCAATGACAAACTTTTTGATGTTAAATCTTCACTTTTTGCATGTAGTTTGTTAATATTTTTTTGTACTTTTTCTAGTACCTCATCTGAAACGCCCTCTGAATTTTCATCTGTAATTCCTATGCTATTTAAAATATTAATAACATTTTTCAAATCATCTTCAACCTTTTCACACGAAACTTGGGCCTGGAAAAATATAAGAGAAAAATATGATATCAGATATTTTAATAATATGATTAAATATTTTCATCGATTTTATTGTAAACTAACTGACCCGGCAGACTTCGTAGTGCTTCAATCGATAAATGAAAGACCTAAGCTTTTGTATAAAATAAACTTAAAATAAACAAAAGGAATCCGTCCGACGGGGAACACATCTAAGTAAAATCAAAATTGTATTTTTTATTGAATTCCGAGCATTTTCATATTTATCTACCTTTTAAACCTTCTCTGGACTTCCACAAATAATTCAAGACCAAAATTAGCCAAAACGGTCCAGCCGTTCTCGAGTTTTAGCGAGAATAACGAACAGCAATACATTTATATATATAACTAGTCAGGTCATAAGTATTGCCACACAGTAAAAACTTTTCTTTTAGAATGCTGGCCATAAAAAAGTTTATTGAATTCGAATCTCGAATTGTTCATGAAAATAAAAATTTATACTTTTAGAACTTTACTCATTTTTAAATATGAAGTGGACGCTTAAAGAAGACCGTGTTGCAGTTATTGCGTTGCATCGTTTTTTTTTTCCCCTACCTATGCTGATAGCCTTGAGAGGCTATTTCAGCGTACCCTAGCTTGTGTAGGTGAGCTCGCGGGGCTCAAACCGTAGAATTGCTAACACCGCCCTAGCAAGAGCAGTGCTTCGCAGAATCTACCACCGGATCGGAAGCGCGACCCACTGAGAAGATCCGGCGAGAAACTCAGTGGGCTGTGTCTGTGGGTTAATTCGCTCGTCGAGCCCTTCGTCGCAAGCGACGGGTTCGGCGAGGACGGTGACCGGTGCTTGTATTGCCTAAAAGCACCGTTAATGGATCAGGAGGATCCGTGATGACGTGCTTTGGGCGACGTCGACGGTTTACCAAATGGTCTACAGGATCGGGTATGTAGTTTCCGGCGGCCACGACAAGAGGGTTCTCATGTCGTGCCGCCTTCTCAAAGTGGCGCAGCGATGCCGACTGTAGATACTTACTGACGGGGTCGAGCTCCAGGTCATCGTGGAGGTCCACGTTCCTTTGGAACCATGGTGCTCCGACGGCTATCTTGCAGAATCGGGATTGTGTTGCATCGTTGCGGTTACGCGCCAATTAAAATTTTTAACATACTGAAAAATTTGAATATAACCAAAAGATTCGTTTATCGTACCATCAAACGATACAATGAAGACTCTAGTGTAGATGACAGGTCAAGAAGTGGTCGCCCTCGGTCTGTTAGGACTCCAGCAGTGATAAAAGCTGTGAAGGCGCGAATTCAAAGAAATCCCAAACGTAAGCAGAAACTGTTGGCCCTTCAGATGGGGTTAAGCAGAACCACGGTGAAAAGGGTGTTAAATGGGCTTCGGGCATATCGAAAAAAAACAGAACATCGTTTGAATGCTCGTCTAATGGACCTGAGACTGAAGAGATGCCGCGCTTTGTTGAAGCGGTACGCGGGAAACAAATATCGGGAAAATCTTTTTTCGGATGAAAAAATTTTTACCGTAGAAGAGAGCTACAACAAACAAAATGATAAGGTGTACGCACACAGTAGTGAAGAAGCGAGCAACCGTATTCCGCGTGTCCAACGAGGTCATTTTCCATCCTCGCTCATGTTATGGTTGGGAGTTTCTTATTGGGGCTTAACAGGGGTACATTTTTGTGAGAAAGGTGTAAAAAAGGAATGCAGTTGTGTATCAAAATACAGTCCTGACGAACCTTGTGGAACCTGTTTCTCATACCATGTTCAATAACAGGCACTGGGTATTCCAACAAGATTCGGCGCCAGCTCATAGAGCGAAGAGCACACAAGACTGGCTGACGGCGCGTGAAATCGACTTCACACGGCACGAAGACTGGCCCTCCTCCAGTCCATATTTGAATCCGTTAGATTACAAGATATGGCAACACTTGGAGGAAAAGGCGTGCTCAAAGCTTCATCCCAATTTGGAGTCACCCAAGACATCCTTGATTAAGGCAGCCGCCGATATTGACATGGACCTCGTTCGTGCTGCGATAGACGACTGGCCGCGCAGATTGAAGGCCTGTATTCAAAATCACGGAGGTCATTTTGAATAAACTTTAGTTTCATAAGAATCTATGTTTTGTTAAGTTCATTTTGGTATATGAATGGTTACATAATGAATAAACTTGTTTCAATTATTTTACATTAAACATGTGACAGAATTTCTGACCTGACTAGGTATATATATAATTCGTAATTGTCTATTCTAATTTTTTTTAGATCAATTCTTGTAAACGATTTTGCGAAGCACTGCTCTTGCTAGGGCCAGTGTTAGCAACACCTCAAGGCTATCAGCATAGGTAGAAGAAAAAAGACACAGGTCGGCTTTGTCAGCGTTTTTGAGAATGTAAACAAATAAAATAAAATCAAACTTATACTCACGTCGTAAAGTAGATTTAAATAATAATTTCATTAAAATTACCATTCCATCTTCGCGGCATATTTACACAACATATATCCCGCGAATAAAGAACTTTTACTGTGCATCGAGAAATAACGGAAGGGGTCCACGAATCTTCTGAACCGTCTAATAGTACTAGATTAAGCTAACGCTAGCTGTTAGCAACACTCCCGGTTTGAGTCCCGTGAGTTCACTTAGGTACACGTCAAGGAGAAGCTGAAATCGCCTCGCAAGCATAGGTAGGAGAAACATACAACTTTGGGTAGACTAATTGGCTGATGGTGTATGTTAAAGAAAGAATTTTATAGTCTTAGTAAGGAGTAGTGAAGACCGTGCTTACATTTAAAACTAAAAATTACCTGAGAATATTCAACATTCATAACATTTCTTNCCCGTGAGTTCACTTAGGTACACGTCAAGGAGAAGCTGAAATCGCCTCGCAAGCATAGGTAGGAGAAACATACAACTTTGGGTAGACTAATTGGCTGATGGTGTATGTTAAAGAAAGAATTTTATAGTCTTAGTAAGGAGTAGTGAAGACCGTGCTTACATTTAAAACTAAAAATTACCTGAGAATATTCAACATTCATAACATTTCTTTCACTTTCTAGAGTGTCTAATTTCTGTCGTAACACTATAGCAGTCTCCTTTAATTCTTTAAGAGTTTTATTATGTTCTTTTGTAAACGCTTCCGTTTTTAATTTCGATTCTTTTTGCATTACAACGTCCTGTGCTTTGGTATCTCTACTATTTGTATTCATTTCTTGTATATGTATTAGCTTTTGAATTAAATCTTTCTCATTTTCTAATGTATTATACAAATGAACATTGTTTTTTGCTGCAAATAAAATTTCAATAACTATTCATTTTATTTAGGTATAAAGAATAAAAATAAATGCTTACATACTTGAAGTGATTCCTTTTTGTTGCTCATTGGGTTTGCAACAATGTGGTACCCATATTTTTTCCATTTCCTCAGAAATCTTGTTGCTAACGTCTTTCATCAATGTTGACTGGTTTGTTTTAAGAGATGCAGAAACTGAACTCTGTTTTCCTTCATTGGGTAGTCTCTCAATAAGAAACATAAATACTTGCCGTAATTCCGCTTCATTATAGTACAGGAATGTTTGATAACCAACATCATTTTTGTACCCCAAATCCTTAAATAATTAATGTCATATCACAATAGTATGTTAAGTCACTCTACATGAAGTTAAAAAAATAATGTTTAGTACACATCTAATAATTCAAATTAAATGGATGTACTTAAAAAGATAAGAGACAGCCCAAAAGAAAAGTTGATCTCTTTGTGGTGAAGGCTGCGACCCACTGCTTTTTATAGTGCTCTATCTACAATACCAGACAGCGCTTTGACTTCTTAATTAAAAGTGGGTTCATTATTAATTCAAAGTTTTTAGATGTTCTATTTAATGAAATATTGAATACAATTTCAAGGAGATATCCCAGTAATAATATAAGTAATGCTTTCATCCCCTATCATCTCTGGTGTAAATCGAAACTGTAATAATATGTTATGTATATGTAATTGTAATAAATAATACAAAAAGCGATTAGATGACGAAATCTGAATTCGACAAATGGCAAATTTCAATTAAAATTGTTTGTATTACTTCAGCTGCTTGAATTAAATCTCAACGCTGGTGAATTGCCTGAATTAATTTGTTTGTAATTTGTGGAGTGGAGATATAGTGAAGCTATATGTTAAAAAACTCACTTTGCAAAATGATGCTATCTGAGCAGCTACTTCGATTCGATGGGAGATTCCTTTTGGTAATTTTTGAGGAACTTTCAAGGATGGATTTATAGCGTTTAGGCATTTTGATGCTGCTTCAATAATAAACTCTACAGAAACATCGCACATGTTCTTCACATTGTCATCTATTTTTCTGTAAATATTTTTGTTTGGTTATGTACTTTTAATATAACTTTAATACTTTTATTGGTGGTAGGACCTCTTGTGAGTTTACTGGTGGTAGGACCTCTTGTGAGTTTACTGGTGGTAGGACCTCTTGTGAGTTACTGGTGGTAGGACCTCTTGTGAGTCCGCACGGGTAGGTACCACCACCCTGCCTATTTCTGCCGTGAAGCAGTAATGCGTTTCGGTTTGAAGGGTGGGGCAGCCGTTGTAACTATAATTGAGACCTTAGAACTTATATCTCAAGGTGGGTGGCGCATTTACGTTGTAGATGTCTATGGGCTCCAGTAACCACTTAACNCCAAACTGAAAAATGGTAGGCGTTAAGGAAAAAAAGTAATTTTTCCTTCCACTTAGTCTACCAACTATTTATCACTACATCTTGTAAACAGAGACTAAATAAAAATGTTGTCAAAGAAAGGAGAAAATGGCTTGAAAATGGAGAAATTAACTTGTCTTATCTTAATCTGTTAATAGGCGTAGGCACCTATTAACTAAATTAAGAAATTAGTTTGTTAAAGCATTTCTTATTATAAATACCAGTACAGAATGTGTTGTAGAGACAGATACTTAGCTATGTACCTCTACTCTGTCCATATCTAAAGACATTCTGCCTCTGCCAAAGAGCAGTCATGCATTCCTGCTTGTCACTGGTATGCAAATACAATCAAACTTCAATTTGTTTCATGGTGAACAGTAGCATACCCAGTGTGGCAATCAACTTATACTACCACTTAACTAGAGTTGGCCTACAAGTTTGTCAGGAAAATATAGTTTATAAAATGAATTTGGCAGTACAAGGGATAGTTAACAAAAACAATGCTTTTTTTTCCTTTTGTCACTCATCAAAATTTTTAGCATAAAATAATGAACTTATTTATTAGATACTCTAAGTTATAAATTCGATTTTAAATCATATCATCAAGAAACAGGTAAATCAGACTTGATTTCAATACAAGAAAACTTAATAAGGAAATTTTATTCAGACATTGTACTTTTTTCTATGATTATTTTGAGTTGCAAAATTCTTTGGTGCTCTTTATATTACATCAAAATATTTTGGAGCTAAAGAGCTTAAATTTTAGACATACAGATATTAAGTACCTACAATGAATATGAAGTGATAAAAAAATTTTGGTCTATCATTCAAGAAAGGTTGAGGTTGGCTAGTTTAAAAAACTTTGAGAGAAATAAACACGCTACTAACTACAAAAACTACAAATAAAAACCGTCGAAAAAGTGATGAGTTTCAAAATCATTAGAGAAGGCATGCGTATAACTTTCCTAAAATTAAATAAATGTATTAAAAAATAAACAATAACTTTATTTTATTGAACTTACAGGTTCAGTTGACGCAGAAAATGTAAAATGATTGAATCTACCTCTTCCATCTTGTTATTTTTATAAATTGGGAGTATTTAACGATATCGAAGTTTTAGATAAGGCAAACTAAAAAAATAAATCATCGCGTTTTTTACTTTATAATGCTGGAAAGTGGAAAACAATATTATTTTTTCACCTCTTCAAGTTGACACTTTCTTTTTTTTTTAAAGGGATGTTATGACCTGGTAACTAAGATCTTTAGGTAATGTCTTATTGTATTTTCTCTCTTATTTATATTCTTATTTTTATGACAAATGATATGTAATATGGAGTGAAATGAAATTAAATGAAGATGATTAATTGGAGACATCAAACAACTGGGATGAAATTAAATGAAATGAGATGAGATGATATGGGATGAAATTTAATCTCAGTAAAATGGTGGTCATTGACTGAGATTTTTTCAGTGGACTTTTTGGAGGATCCCAAGAAGTTACGTCCAGCGGTTTTGTTTCATTTTCGCACATTTGCGCACTTTCACAGATATGAAACGGTTAATAAACTACCGTTATTACACATTTAAACCTGAAGAAATACTAAATAGACAAATTAAAACAAATCACACAACTTCACTCCTCGCGTTCCCGCCAAAAAGTTCGATAACCACTTTCAACTTTGTGACCACAGATTAGTATAATAGTTATAATATAATAGTTTATCGGTTTTCCAATACAAAAACCGAAGATATGATACTGACAAAGTTTTTATTCTGCTTTATACAATATAATATGTAGTGAAAAATAATATGATGGAATGAGATAAAGTTGATTTATTTGCGATTGCAGTAAATTGGAATGGTTTAAATGAAGCAAAATGAAATGGGGTGAAATAATAATTCGGTAAAATGGTAATTATTTACAGAGACTAGTAAACTTCTTGGAAAGAACCCGAAAAGTCACGTTCATTGACTGTTTCATTTCATTTTTTCATTTCCACTTCCTACACTAACGCTACTTCGGTGAGTCTTCCAACAATAATTTGCTGTTTACAGGTGAACACTTTTTCGAATTGTCCCTTAAAGATGATGATCCTTACCTCTACCCTCCATAATCGACACTAACACAATTAATGGGCTGTAGTATCCTTCTTAGACTGCTGAAACTCCGATTTTCTTCCAAATAAAAAGGGCGTATTGATTTTAAAAATTATATAGAACAGACAAGGCTGTATGGGCTTAGAACCTTTCCTAATAAGGAACAATTGTACCAAAAAAAATATCTATGGTACAAGTATTTATTATTAGTCTGTGGATGCCCTTCTAGGTATTTTTCTTTACATTCTAGCCTGAATATTACGTAAGATTTTATTGCAAAAGTTAGAAGTTAGAAGTTCACCACTATGGGCAAACACTTTGGAGAACTAGCTAAAATTCGGGGTCTTGTCACCTACAAGATATCTGCCCATGAACAACGAGCATATGCTGGAGCTATTTCAAATGGTATTCCTAATATCTTCAGAAGATTTCGTGAGAGCGTTTTTAAAGTAGTCCCGCGTAAGTATTCATAACAGTTTAATATTAATTTGTAAAATTCACATTCAAATTAGTCAAAGAAGAAATCAGTCACAATATTTTTTGCATTTCTTCATTCGGGCCAAAATTTGGAATACCAATACATGAATTAACATTGAATTTACTGACATAAATAACTGAATGATTACTTTTAGACTAAAAAACAGGTTGAATTGACCAAATTAAGTACAAAAATAAATCAATAAATGAATGTTAAAAACCATTATGAGCTTTTTTCAAACAAATTTACCATGTTACTCGGTTTGGATGTAGAATATAATACCTACGTTATTATCCTACTTTGGAAAATTTCATATAAAAATAAGATCCAAAGCCTTTTTGGAAATGTGTCGAGAATAAAAAACAGAGTGATAACTTTCAATCTATTATGAAGTATCAACAATTTTATTGTCAAATAATGGTGAAATAATCTACTAAGTGTTTTTTTCACTCAACATTTCTTCAAAACACAAACTGTCATGGTGTAGTGAATGTTTTTCCCTTCCTAAACACTGGATATTTTTTATCCAACCTATAATTATAACTACTGTTTTAAACTCATCCCTGAAGACACAATTCTTTTTGATTTTTATTCAAGTCTCTTCTTGTGGAGATGTATTTTTTATGCTTTACCTTAACTGTTTCAAGAAGGATAATTTTCTTTGCTTTGAAGGGTAAATGTGTGGAAATTGTTTGGATCCCTTCAAGATATGAATTTTTTTAATCTGGTAGCTAACACTGTTTATGTACACCAATCTCTGAAAGTGGTGTAGTAGTTTGCCCTAAATGCTAGCTTGTGTAGTTTTTACCACCCCTCTGATGATATGACTAGTGTAGCAGTACTTAGCCACAATGATTTTGGAACAAAAATCCTATTTCTTACCAATCATTCACCAGCATTGACTAAACATAATAATATGTTGCCTAATAGGTAAGATGTCCTGAATTGTTCTGTACACTTGATTCAAGTGATAAGGCTTTAAATCCTAAGGCAAGTTAATCATGTACAAAAGAATATAATTGTGTGCATTTAATATTCTCTTTATCTACATCATACAAAAAATTAGAAAAATTATCTCTTAATTTATAAGAATCCATTGCTCTTACTGGAAATCATAAGTTTCACCAGATAACTTACCAAGTTTACTCACTAAGCCGATTGGCATTCTTTGTAGAGGAGTTGAGATACTACTTGTGTGATTTCTCCCATCCATTACAAAAACAAAATGATTATAAAAAATAATCACAACTTGATGACTATGATGGAAAACGATCTGTACACACTTTTTAATGTTAAACCAATAAAATAATGAATTCTCTTGCAGCCTTCATCATTGGATACTTGATATATGAAGGAGTTGAAAGGGAGCATCACAGACTATCACGGAAGAACCCTGCTGATTTTGAAAATGATCAATAAACATAGTTTGCAAATTAAAATTGTTTAATGTAGAAATTAATTTAAATTAAATTAAATCTAAAATGTAATTTCATTTATTGTAATATAATAAGTTATTGTGACAAATAACTATCTTTCGTTATGATACCACCTACCACTCTTAAGTGATCATCGAAACTTTTAAACACCACATGAAATTATCTGAGGAAAGACAAATAATGAGACAGTTAAAATTTGAAAGCTCTAATCATTGGGACTAAATACTAACATTTAAGATTTCAAGAATAGCTATAACTAACTGAAGCTTTATAATTCATATGTAATTTTTTTGTTGTTGTTGTTTTTTCCTACCTAAGCTGAGAGCCCTGAGAGGCTATTTCAGCGTAACCCTAACTTTTGTAGGTGAGCTCACGGGGCTCAAACCTGATGACGTTGCTAACACGAACCCTAGCAAGAGCCGTGCTTCGCAGAATCTACCACCGGATCGGAAACGCGACCCACTGAGAAGATCCGGCGAGAAACTCAGTGGGCTGTGTCTGAGATTTAATTTACTCGTCGAGCCCTTCGTCGCAAGCGACGGGTTCGACGAGAACGGTGACCGTTGCTTGAAGTACCTAGAAGCACCGTTAGTGGATCGGGAGGATCCGAGATGACGTGTTTTGGGCGACGTCGACTGCTTTCCATTCTGTCCGCAGGATCGGGAATGTAGTTACCGGCGGCCACGATGAGAGGGTTCTCGTGTCGTGCCGCTTTATCGAAGTGGTCATATGTAATATATAGCTAGCTACCTACAAGTACATTAATATCCAAAGCCCTTATTATTTTATTGAATGCTTTTTATTCAGTCTGAATACACAGTAAAATTACAAGAAAGCCACAAATTGAGAGGTGTGTATAAAAAGTGATCTTATATGAGTCATTGAAATTATGGCCTAAAGAATAATACTGCTGGTGTAGGTACTCGTGTATAAAAGTTCACCAGTACCAGTGTGACTTTCGAATATATGGACGTCAAAGAGTTCGTATCTCGCACTCTCGCGATAGAAGGTAAATAATTAAATTATCAGTACACTTGCATAGGTCATGACAGAACGTATGCAAGTTTTGTAGAGTGTCGCCTTAATATGATGGGACAAATTTACTTACTTCGCTTTACTTCGCTATTGATTGGGATGGATTGCGTGAATTTTACGCATCCTACCCATGGGGGCGGTTCTGCTTTTCCTCTGCTGATCCTGACGTCTGTGCGGACCGTCTTAAAGACGTGGTGCTCCAGGGGATGGAATTGTTTATTCCCTCCTCTGAAGTTGGACCGGAGGTGGGACCCCCGTTGGGGGTCGCAGCAGATCCTGGTTTAACAATGCCAGCAGGGATGCTGCACACCTCAAGCGGTCCGCATACGTGGCATGGGATAATGCCAGAAGACGTCGGGACCCTAACATCTCAGGGGAAAGGCGGAAATATAACGCCGCTTCCAGGTCCTACAAGAAGGTAATTGCCAAGGCGAAGTCGGAGCACGTTGCTAGAGTTGGCGAGCGATTACAGAGCTATCCCTCAGGGAGCCGTGCTTTTTGGTCGCTCGCCAAAGCTGCAGAAGGAAACTTTTGCAGGTCTAGTCTCCCACCACTGCGCAAGTCCGATGACACTCTGGCCCACAGGGGGAAAGAGACTCTTCGCCTCGAACTCGACTGTGGACGACGGGGGTGCCACACCCCCGAACATGGTCCGGTGTGATAGCTCCCTGTGGGATATCTGCTTTACACAGTGTGCAATCAGGTGGGAGCTCCGACTCCTGGACGTCCATAAGTCGAGTGGGCCAGACGGCATCCCCGCAGTGGTTCTGAAAACGTGCGCCCCTGAGCTGACACTTGCGCTAACGCGTTTGTATCGCCTCTCTTATTGCACTAACAGGGTTCTGTCTTCATGGAAGACCGCCCACATCCACCCTATCCCCAAGAAGGGTGAGCGGTCGGACCCATCGAGCTATAGGCCTATCGCGATAACTTTCTTGCTTTCCAAGGTGATGGAGCGAATAATAATTACACAACTCCTGAAGTATCTTGAAGATCGCCAGCTGATCAGTGACCGACAGTACGGTTTCCGTCACGGTCGCTCAGCTGGCGATCTTCTTGTATACCTTACTTACAGGTGAAGCCTTGGAGAGCAAGGGCGAGGCTCTTGCTGTGAGCCTTGATGTCGCGAAGGCCTTCGACAGGGTCTGGCATAGAGTACTTCTATCAAAGCTACCATCTTATGGAATCCCGGAGGGTCTTTGCAAGTGGATCGCTAGCTTTTTGGATGGGCGGAGCATCACGGTCGTTGTAGACGGTGACTGTTCTGATACTATGGCCATTAACGCTGGCGTTCCACAAGGTTCGGTGCTCTCCCTCACGCTTTTCATCCTGTATATCAATGACATGATGTCTATTGATGGCATGCATTGCTATGCAGATGACAGCACGGGGGATGCGCGATATATCGGCCATCAGAGTCTCTCTCGGAGCGTGGTGCAAGAGAGACGATCAAAACTTGTGTCTGAAGTGGAGAACTCTCTGGGGCGAGTCTCCGAATGATATGATGGAATGAGATACCAAGTTCAATTCAACCCGATAAAGACACAAGTTTGCGCGTTCACTGCGAAGAAGAACCCCTTTGTCATGGCGCCACTATTCCAAGGAGTATCCCTGCAACATTCCCAGAGTATCGGGATACTTGGGGTCGACATTTCGAGCGATGTCCAGTTTCGGAGTCATTTGGAAGGCAAAGCCAAGTTGGCGTCCAAAATGCTGGGAGTCCTCAACAGAGCGAAGCGGTACTTCACGCCTGGACAAAGACTTTTGCTTTATAAAGCACAAGTCCGGTCTCGCGTGGAGTACTGCTCCTATCAGTGGGCCGGGGCTCCCAAATACCAGCTTCTTCCATTTGACTCCATACAGAGGAGGGCCGTTCGGATTGTCGATAATCCGATTCTCACGGATCGTTTGGAACCTCTGGGTTTGCGGAGAGACTTCGGTTCCCTCTGTATTTTGTACCGTATGTTCCATGGGGAGTGCTCTGAGGAATTGTTCGAGATGATACCGGCATCTCGTTTTTACCATCGCACCGCCCGCCACCGGAGTAGAGTTCATCCATACTACCTGGAGCCACTGCGGTCATCCACAGTGCGTTTCCAGAGATCTTTTTTGCCACGTACCATCCGGCTTTGAAATGAGCTCCCCTCCATAGTGTTTCCCGAGCGCTATGACATGTCCTTCTTCAAACGAGGCTTGTAGAGAGTATTAAGCGGTAGGCAGCGGCTTGGCTCTGCCCCTGGCATTGCTGAAGTCCATGGGCGATGGTAACCACTCACCATCAGGTGGGCCATATGATCGTCTGCCCACATGGGCAATAAAAAAAAAACAGATCATGGGGTAGAGTTGACAGAGTAGGAAAGCGGCTCCGTCGCGTACTGACTTAATGTGGGGCCTGAATGTCACCCCCCGCCCCCTTGTCGAGAGGGACGCCTAAGTACTTAGCCTTCGAAGCCCACGGTATGGGCTGGCCAAAGATTTTTATGGCGAGAATAGTTATCGCGCCTAATTGGTGACGAGATACTAACAGTAGTATCGGGAGGGCGACCCCTTTTGAAGAGCATGCCTGTGCTTTTCATGGGTTTATGTCAATGCGCCACTTTCTGAACCACTGTCCTAAATTAGTGGCCACGATCTGGAATTTACTATGCATGAAAGACATTCCTACTTGAGTAGAGGAGTGCCGTATTTAACAGGGCTAAGTTGGTCACCGGCGACTTGGGTATATCGTTAATAAACAGGCTGAAAGGTAGCGGGGAGACAGAGAGCTCCCTAGACTCGATATCGAAACGAACGGTTCGACAAGAAGTCTCTTAATATGAGCATGACTGGTTACTGGCACGACTTAAGTGTATAATCTATGGGCACGACTATGACTATACAGTTTGTAAATTAAACTGTTGTCAGAGTTTGTCAAACACCTCCGCGAAATCGAAGAAGAGGGTATAAGATATCGAAGATTAGCTCTACTAAAATGTGGTCCGTGAGACGTTACACTTTTGAATGCACGAGTGTTTCGCACGGAATTCGAATTGTTCATCGATCAGGATGCCTTTTGAGGTGTTGAAGTCGGCGTCTGCGTAAAGCATTAAAATAGATGAAATCAAAATAAGTGTAAACTTAACTGAGTATCGAATTATCGCAAAAATATAGTCCCTGATTCTTTATTGGTTGAAAAATTAAAGCGCGTGGAGCGCGTAATTTAAATTCCTAATTGGAAATAATTTTATGGTTTTTTATCAAAACTGAAAAAATCGAATGTCAATTTTCAAGGGTGAAATATCGATTCAGAACTAAATATCGATTTAAGAAATGGCAAAAAATCGGTTATTCGATTAATCAATCTCAAATCGCCATCCCTAACCTAAAAATAATAACATTTGCAACATGTTTAATCCATTCAAAAATATTTTCGTCTCCAATTTGAAGTACAATCAATGTAACAATTTTCACACCAATTCGTTACATCTAGCATGGACAAAGGCGACTGCACCAAAATCTTTTATTCAAAATAACAAGAAAATTTATCCTCCACAACAAATTGATGAACCAACTCGACCAGCAGTAAGTTTAATTATTTTACCATACTTTCTTTTTACTTAAGGATAGAAGATTTTACAAGCACATACTGTTAAGCGGTGTATTCTGCGGTTTATTATAGTATTGCCTTTCGAGATCTATTCCAAACGGTTTTCTCAATGCATCTATTTTCAAATTTTAATACTACCTCAATACTAGTCTCATGTAGAAGTACATATATTTCATATATGTCATCATGTACATATATGTCATACTTTAGCCTAATTGTTTAAGTAATACTCTAAAATTCTCCACACTTGCATTTGCAGTTTTTTAATTAGTGCGTGTCCTGTCATACTGTAGNAGATCTATTCCAAACGGTTTTCTCAATGCATCTATTTTCAAATTTTAATACTACCTCAATACTAGTCTCATGTAGAAGTACATATATTTCATATATGTCATCATGTACATATATGTCATACTTTAGCCTAATTGTTTAAGTAATACTCTAAAATTCTCCACACTTGCATTTGCAGTTTTTTAATTAGTGCGTGTCCTGTCATACTGTGGACAGGAACAACTCTTGTCTTTTGATATGGGCTCGTAATAGATGCATTCACTACGAAACTATACTGATAGTAACCCCACGTCCTCCTTGCTCGTAAGTTACAAAAGCCCATAAACATAGCAAACATGAATGCTGTGCTACTGACCTTGAAACAGCTCTCCTACATTTTAAACAAAAACATGTACATACATGTATAAACAACATAATAAAATAGGCAGGATGGCAATACATTTAGGCAGCGGCTTGGCTCTGCCCCTGGCATTGGTGAAGTTCATGGGCGACGGTAAACACTCACCATCAGGTGGGCCGTATGCTCGTCTGCCTACAAGGGCAATAAAAAAAAAATATCCTAGGCTTAAAAAAAAAAAACATATCCTAGGCTTAAAAAAAAAAACATATCCTAGGCTTACAACATGCCTTACCACAATTCAGTGCAATCCAATACTATAATTTTGAAATCCATTATGTTCTAGTTTGTGTGTCATCAAAAAACTAATATTAAATACAGCCCAGATAAGCTTTGGTATGTAGCCTGTCTCATACGAGGAATGACTGTTGATGAAGCACTAAAACAATTGAGTTTTGTCAATAAAAAAGGAGCATTATTTGTAAAGGAAGCTGTATTGGAAGCTCAAGAGATGGCCATCAAAGACCACAATGTAGAATTCAAAAGTAATCTTTGGGTTGGTATGTAACTTCTTCTTGTAATCTATAGATACTTATTTATACTAAAGCATTAAAAGAAAATATATGAAAATGTAAAATTACTTTGTTTCAGCGGAATCATTTTCAGGAAAAGGTATGGTGTTTAAAGGTATAAGGAGACATGCACGAGGCAGATTGGGTGAGGTGCGCTATAAGTATAGTCACTACTTTGTGAGACTTGAAGAGGGCAAGCCACCTACTGATTATTATAAACGTAAACCATTACTACCTTCAAATCAGTTACAAGATTGGCTAGAACAAATGAGGAGAAGAAAAATAACAAACTCTTACTAAATTAATATACAACAATAATTAGAAATAGATGTTAACTTTTACTTCAATAAATATATGCTATAATAAAATAAAAAAATTATTTTTTTATTGCTTAGATCCGTGGACGAGCTCACAGCCCACGTGGTGTTAAGTGGTTACTGGAGCCGTAATGTAATGCAGTTGATTGGAGTATTGTCAACTTCCACTAAGGCTTTTAATTCGTCGTTGTCGACTAACTTTTGGGCAACCACAGGGTCAGGTTTCATTTTTACATCAAAATTTCCACAACAGTGTGCTTAGTGCGAGTTTTTTAAAGTTCTCGATAGCGTAAAAGTTAGCTCTAATTTGTATGGAGTGGGATCGTTTGCGTACGTTTGCCGCTAGGGGCGCTGTTCCAACTGCATACAAAACTGGCTTAACTTTTACGCTATCGAGATCGATAAGTCCTTGCACCTTCAGATTTCCACCTGTTTCGGTCTCTTCAGAATTCTTTACGCAATGTCAGGTTAACATCACGAGAGGACAGTCAAAACCAATTGTCGCGGTATTTTGATCAGAAGCCCCAAATTTCTATAGAAATGGGATCATGTTCCTACCTACAAGATGGCAAAAAGTTATCGAACAAAATGGTACCTACATACTTTAGTTAAATGTAAATAAACTATATTAAAAATGTTGTGAATTTTCATCAAAAATGAGAAGAAACTTGTTCCCCAATCTATTATATTAATTTTCAGGCATTATGGAAAGAATAATTCTTTTACCGATTGGGTAGGAGAATGTTGTAAGCTATGATGTTCCGATTTCTTTATGAAAAAGGTAGTTTTATCATCTGCAATTTAAGCTTTATTGTAATGAATATTTCACTTATAGTAGAGGAACACTTAACACCAGATAGACCGTGAACTCCTCCAGCGATGTTAGCAATAAAAAATATCAATGATTAAGGGAATTATACAATCTGCCGATTTTCAAAAACCTAAGTAATGAAAATCATCAGTAGTGTGATGCATGCAGCTGCTGAGAACTATGTATTTCCCATTCCTCGCCTCTCTTCTTCTATTACTCTCTCGCACTGTCTCCATAGTAATTTCCGTAGCGCGCTCGTATTTATTTTTTTGCAATTTTCAAACCTCTCGATCGATCGCTCCCACCATGCGAGCCGGCATATTAATATCTGACAGGCCAAGGTAATTCTTTGTACCATTTTTTACATTTCGTTAAATCCGTTTACGCCCCCACGCCAGTGAAAGCAAACATTTTCAAAGCTTTTTTAATTCTAGTATCTAATCTTCACATTCTAAAATGTCCCCACAAACCTAGAGTAAATTCCCAATTAGCCTGTCAGGCGATATTAGGTGTAGGTATAGCGGATGTAGATATTTTTTAGTAATTTTCTGTACTTAATAGCTATATACTTAAGTTAATATTAATAATAGGGGTTAAAGTATGAAAAATTGCCGTTTTATTATAATAGGTACATATTTCGAATTGACATAGAACCTTCATGGTTTGGAATTTAGTTTTAGATTGAGATTGAGTTCAATTTAGATTTGAGTGAAACTTTTTTCAAATGGTACCTAAACTGGAGTATGAAACCTAGGTACCTATGGGCTTCTTGTTTTAAAAAATGTGCAACCTTCGATTATCGACTTTCAGTTGTGTTTTTTTTATTCAGCTTAGACAAGAAAGATGGATACTTCAAAAATTCGAGTGATTTTCGAATAAGAGTTCCGACGCGGAACTAACGCTGCAGAAACAGCTCGCAATATCAATATTGCGTTTGAAGAGGGGATTGCTAATGAACGCACCGTGCGATTTTAGTTTAAACGCTTTCGTGATGGAAATTTTGATTTGAAGAACGAACCACGTGGATGACCGCCCTCATATTATGTGAATAACAATGAATCGAAAGAGATGGTGGAAGTCGATCTGAGCCAAACTACCCAGGAATTAGCAGCATGGTTTAACGTGACCTTGCCAACAATATCGACTCATTTGCTTCAAATCAATAAAATAAAATAAAATATGAAAAATGGGTGCCTCATGATTTGATTGATCTGCAGAAAGAAACGCGTGTTGAAACTTGTGTTGCCTTGTTGAATCGATACAGAAATGAAGGAATTTTGGATCGAATTGTTACATCTGATGAAAAGTGGATTCTTTACGATAACCGTAAGCGAAAAGTGCAATGGCTAACCCCAGGTCAAACGCCGCAACAGTGCCCTAAAGCAAAGCTTACCAATAAAAAGGTAACGGTAACTCTTTGGTGGTCTCAGCATTGTATTATTCATTATAGCTTTTTCCGATCTGCTCAAGCAATAACGGCAGATGTCTACTGTGCCGAACTCCGAACAATGATGCAATGATAGCAAAACTTGTAGTGAAACAGCCCCGACTCATGAATCGGTCTTCACCATTATTGCTCCATGATAATGCGAGACCTCATACAGCACGAAAAACTCTACAGGAACTGCAATAAGAAACCATTCGTCACCCTTCGTATTCGCCAGACCTTGCTCCAACGGACTACCATTTTTTTCGTGATTTGGACAATTTTCCACGCGATAAAAAGTTTTCTTCCCAGGAGGCAGTACAAAATGCTTTCACACAGTTTGTAGAATCTAGATCACCAGAGTTCTATCGCAAAGTCACGAATGACCTTCCTATTAAATGGTAGTAATGTATAGATAATAATGGTAGATATGTTGATTAAACAAATATGTTAAATGAAAAAAAAAATACAGTTTTTCAGTACAAATCGGCAATTTCATACTTTAACCCCTAATAATAATAAACTTAAACAGACGAGGTGCCCTTTTGCACAAAGGTCGATTTTAGCAGATAAACATTAAGAACAAAGGCTTTTTCTGTTACATTTATTCTAGGTTCCCCACAATTGGGACTTTGCCCTTTATTCCTCTTCTCTAAAATGAGGATGATTACTTGGCGACATATATTATTATAGCCATTAATATACACATATAGGTATCTAGATGAAATAAAAAGGACATTTCAATTGTATTGTTTTTTAATGTAAAATAATATTTAAAATAGGTTTGCTACGATATAAGTACTATAAAGAAACCTACGAAGTTCATCACATCAAAGAGCTCTATAATTCCCTTATCAGTAGATAATGGTATTTAATATAGGCTCGACGCCCACCTTGATATTTCAAAGTTTTAACTACTTTGGGATAGTATCTTGTCCAGAATTTCTGTTAAAAGAAATCGCTTTTAACGATAAGACCGCCTATTGTACAAATGTATCTGCTTGTGGAGGGTTTTCTAATGTTGTGTTTTGGTGTGCAAAAAAGTATGTTCTCTTTCTCTATAAAAAAAAGTGCGTGTCACGCAACAAAAAAAGAAAAGCTCCGTAGATGTGATGAACTTTCTAGATTAAATTCAAGTAAGATTAAATTTTATTGAATCAAAAATTAAGTACAAAACTATGCTTACAGGGTGAGTTCACTGTTCCTGAAATCGAATACAGGTAGTAACGCAGATAGATTATATTTGACATGTCAGCAGAAAAATGTAAACGGAGTTTTTTTTTAGTTTTTTTTATTGTTTAGATGGGTGGAAGAGCTCACAGCCCACCTGGTATTAAGTGGTTACTAGAGCCCATAGAAATCTACGTAATTGCGCCACCCACCTTGTGATATAAGTTGTAAAGTGTCAGGTATACTTTTCGTTTTTTTGTATTTAAATAATGTAGGTAATCAAGGAATTTATGGCTTATAGCCCTTCAAATTATATTGGTAACAAGTACCGAATACTACTTAATACAACAAATTTATCTTGTTTTCCGCTAAAATTAGCTCGTAGGAGTTTCTTTCCATTTCGGCATCGGATCAACAGTCTCTTATACTTACCTATACTTATGAGTAACAGTACTTATAAATAGTTACTAATTTATTAAGATCCATCACCGTGTATGAACTTTATTCATCATATTTTTATATTAATGCTACTATACTATAATACTACGTAAATATATAATATATGTATAGGTGATTGAATGATAATAAATGTTGATTATTAATTTAAATAACTTGAACAATTGTTTTGGACAGCATTATTGTTCAAATTAGTTGCCCCTTAGAACCGGTTGGAACGTATTGAGATTATTTTTTTATTAATTACCTCAAACTTCTAGTAGGTATAGAATCTAGAACAACTGATTCCAAAACATTACTTTCTTGAAAATAATTATCATCACTACATAGTATAAAACAAAGTCGCTTTCTCTGTCCCTATATCTGTCGGTTCCTATGTATGCTTAAATCTTTAAAACTACGCAACGGATTTTGATGCGGTTTTTTTTAAAAGATAAAGTGATTGAAGAGGAAGGTTTATATGTATAATAACATCCATTAAATAGTGGAGAAATCAGTAATAAATTACAGTTTCCGAAGCGAAGCGAGGGCGGGTCGCTAATAATAATATAATTTAATTTCATGAAAATACGTTGATAATAAAAACTCGTTGATTTTTTAATAAAGCGTTAAACGAATGCTTCATAAACAAAAGAAACGCAAGCGCTTAAAAAACTTGGATCGAAACAAAGAATGAGGTCAGATCTCTGTGTGTGTTTGTGTCTTTTTTCTTAACTTGAGGTGATATGAGCTTCGACATTATTTCTTAAGTCGAGCGAATAGTATATCCCCGTGCATAGAATACATTAGAACCAATAGCAAAATTTAAAAAATCAGAGCGTATGCCCCTAATGTCGAAATCTTAGTATCTATGTACACTGGCGCGAAACGCTATCAAACACAAACCAATAACATATCTTTTTGCTGCCCCTCACAGGGCATATTCTCAAATTAAAATAATAATATAAAGCTTGTTTTAATACTAAATGTACGAATAAAGCATTATTCATATAATAAAGGTATACGACCACGTCGGGTAGTAAACGTAATACATAAATCAATCACTTAAACGTAATATGTCACCTATTGCTTACGTCACTAATTATTGACGATACAAAAGTAAAAAAAATATACAGTTCCAGGAATTATAGTCTAGTGTCATACATCAAACATCCATTTGGGGGCACACTGGTATATTATGACATTTAAATTCTCCAGTATAAAAACTGCATCTATATTTGTAACTGTAGGACTAGCAACAGGATAGTGAAAATCACGTGGGTGCGTTGTCTGGAAACTGAACAGAATTGAATTCCCCAATTGCTTATAATATAATTTTTACAAACATGTATTATACTCGTAGAAACAGCCCTTACAGGGCGGTTTTGTTTCAATGCTCCCGAGCATTATTCACATGTGAATTTGGTGTTGAAATAAACCCACAACTGTTCCGTAAACAACAATTGCGAACAACATCTAACATCTTATGTCCATGTTTATACTAAGTGAGCCTTAGTATGAATTTGGACAAAACGTAAATTATGTCGAACGTCAATGTAGTGCTTGTCCAACTTCGAGACAAACATCAATCGTCGAATCCAACTAGAATTGGCAGCGTTCGGAAAGCTGCACAAAATCTGTTCATCCCAAATACCCCACTGTCTCAAGACAAAAGTCTACCAGTGTATGTTGCCAGTTATGACATACGGTAGTGAGACGCGGTCGCTGACAATCGGCATTATCAGAAGGGTCAAAGTCACGCAAAGAGCAATGGAGAGGGCTGTGCTCGGAGTTTACCTGCGAAATCGAATCAGAAATGAGGAGATTCGCAGAAGAATCAAGGTAACTGACAGCCCGAAGAATTGCAAGATTGAAGTGGCAGTGGGCAGGTAGGTAGGCAGGCTTGTAGAACAGATGGTTGCTAGGGCCGAGAAGTTCTCCAGAAAGCGCGGCGTGAGTAGGCCTCCTATGAGGTGGACTGACGATATATTTTAAAGTCGCGGGAATCCGTAGGATGCAGGTTGGGCAAGATCGATTATTGTGGCGAACCTTGGGGAAGCTTATATCCAGCAGTCGACGTGCATGGGCGTAATTAACTGGGTACATATCTTAGTAACTATTGATATTTTTTGTAGCGGTATGTCGGAACTGTAAACTGAAGAATGAGCTATAATAAACACAAAGTTAAGTAGGATTTTAAATTTTATAATTACTTCACTTTGTTTATGTACTTCAATTGCTCATTTGTACAAACAACAGTAAATAAAAAAATTTGTATGCGTACCTATTCCCTATTTCTAAACATTTGCACTATTTACAAGCAAAACCATAATATACCTGACCCTGTTTATTACTGGAGCTCTTCGTGTATTTATCATACACTCAACGATGTCCTACGAACTGGCTTTTTTGGAACATAACCATAAAGAAATATAGAACCAATAACCATGGCTGTGCCAAATGCAAATTGAACAGTTAAAACAAAACTGAAAAGATACATTGAGACTACACATGAAATGATGATCGCAACAGACGTCGCAAAACCTTTTAGTATGTTATCAGCATATTTTACTACAACGGCTACAATGAGACCTCCCGCTGCTTGCAGGATCACCAAATACCATATGAAGCCGTCAAATCCTTTAAACATATTATTTAAAGTTCCTTCTTGTATTAGATATGTTCCAGTTCCAAACGGTAGTGACAATAAGCTGAGTTGAACATTCCTCATCCATACCTGAAAAGATATAATATAATACCTATATAACATCTATAAAGGTAGATAATACCTATATGTATACTAATGAGTAACTATACTCATTTGTGTACGTAAAATCTGTAGGTACCGATACAACACTGTTCACTTGTTTCTAGAGTAGAGCAGACCATTATTGCACAGAAAAACTAGTTTCGTTTTGCCTCTGAGGGCAGCCGACATCTCGCCATGGATTAAATCTTAAATTCCTAGTAGAGATTAAAACTTAATGCAAGTTGATCTACTAATAAACATTAATAGATATAGCAGTTAGTGAAATTTAAACAGAACTTAAACAAATCTTACCGAAATATCGGACTCCTTTAAAACTTTTTCGAAGTAAATTCCAGCAAATCCCGATATGAAACATGCTGCCAAAGCAGCACCGAATCCAATTAATTTGGATTGCTTTAACTTGTCTTCAGAATTCGATGATTTAGCATCAGTAGAAGATAGCTGAACGACAGCAACTCCAGCAGCTAATAAACCCAAGGCACCCCATTGCCATTTCTTAAGTTGCCTTTTTAAAACAATAACAGCAAAAAATGCTGTTGTCAATAATTTTAATTGATATGTTACCTAAAAAAATTTAAAGTGGTATTAAAATTAATAATTTTTGAATCGGATATTAATTTTATACTTTATTTTAATAAGCACTATACCAGTACCTGATACGTGGCCGCATCTAAATTAGCCGCCGATACGTAAAGCAAGTTATTTTGTAGTATGTATAAAAATGACGGTACACAAACACGCACTGTATCCTTAATATTTAAAACAACTGTAGAATACATAGATTGGACGCCTGTTTTAACTCCTCCAGACTCATGCATTACGAGACATATGCAAATGACTAGTTTTACTATTTCTGCCATTACCACAGCTGTAAAAATAAAGGCCAGTATAATCACAAGCTGGTGTAGTTCGTTATTTATATAATTATTAACGTAAGGCATGCTTAAAGTTTTGTGTAACAAATAAAACAATATATATAAAAATTATTACCATAGTTTTACAATTCATATAGTTAGGAACATCTGTACTTGCGCAGAATAACGGCGGGGATCTAGCGGGGCGGCGGGTGGTACGGATCTCGGCCCCCGATCGCGCTGCGTTTGTGCACTCGAAGGCTCAGTGTGCTTAATCCGCGCAGGTAGGGACCACAGCCCTGCCTATTTGTGCCGCGAAGCAATAATACGATTCGGTTTGAAGGGCGGGGCAGCCGTTGTAACTATACTGAGACCTTAAAACTTATGTCTCAAGATGGGTGGCGCATTTACGTTATAGATGTCTATGGGCTCCAGTAACCACTTAACACCAGGTGGGCTGTGAGCTCGTCCACCCATCTAAGCAATAAAAAAAAAAGATTTATACTTCTCCTAGCGGGAAACTTTAGGAGCGGTGTTCCAACTCTATACAATTTTCAGTTAACTTTTACGCGATCGAGAAGTTAAATAACCCGTACTAAGCACCCTGGGCAGAGGTGACCGTGTACATCGACAGAAAGTGTATCGAGAATCGTTATTTACGTTCATTATAATCGTGCACTTGCCTTTGGTCCGTGTACGGACGTGCATAAACTATTAAGTGAAATAAAATTTAAATCACCGACATGCTCATGTTTACCTTAAACTTGTATGATAAGATTATGCATCCCAATGCGAATACATTACATAATTAAATTTAATAATAGAAATCTGAAAATAAGTGTCACGCAAATATCTCACAGTAATGTAATTAAGACACATAGGTACTCAATAAATAAATGATTGCATATTTTTTTTCTTTTTTGGCCACCTTTGCGCATCTGCGTAAATAGATTACGTAAATGTAAATACATACACGGAAAGTGGTGTCTTCCGGCATCAAAACAGTTTCTCAACTGTACGAATTGTAAAACTGTGGTAATGTTATTGTTTTAAAGTATTTCAGTCTTTCGTTCCTTTTAATCGTTTTCGTAAAGCAATTCCTACTGGTCTGAATGGATTATCTTCACATGCCCCTTAAAAGCTGTCATGTCCTCTTCTGACTTCATAAGTATCCTACTTTTAACACACAAGTATACGTGAAAAACGAAAGTCTAAAATTATACTCATAATGTTTCTATAACTATATAGCTATAGGTATGTTTATGTTACCGAAAGAAAAAACAGAGCGATTTTAGATATTGGCTTTGATCATTTACGAATAAAAAAATGAAATAAAAGATTATCACATAAAAATGGTATTTATTTATCAAATATACTCGTAAACAATAATTGGTATTACTATGGCCAACCGGTCGGCGAACTCGCTTATAAATTGCATGTGAGATTCAAAAAGGGCACGCGCCGCGATTACAGACACGATGTAGTTCAATTTAGCTCGTAAATAAATGTGGATAAGCAATTTAAATGGGAATTCGATCGTGTTTTTAAAATAAATTATATCTTGTTTGTGTCTCGTTAATGAATAGGTATAGTAACCGGCAAACTTCTTGAGCAAATGACCTTGACTGCGCAGAACCGAATTTTAGATCACTTTGGTGGCGAGGGTGAGGCGCGACGGCAGGGGAAATCGTATCGAGCGCTTTATTGGTAGATCAGTCGAACCTTGCGTCCCGCACCGCGCCCTCATTCCGCTTGCTCCCAAAAGTACGCTTGCGTACAGTGAAAAGTCTATTGTTATTAATCGTTAAGTTATTTGTTATAATTACTTGTGGACTTTGTTGCCATTGCTATTTGTTGATTGTTTGCTGATTTTTTATAAAACATACACTATGCCGCGACAAACTGGTGTACTATTCAAAAGAAAGGGTAGAAAAATTGTGTACGACGTATATTGCTTCATTATAAAACAGGGGAAGATTGATATGGAAAAATTAAAACAGACTTCGGAAGTAACAAAACCATCAGTGAGTACTGTTAGGTGCATTATTATTAAGGAAGCTAAAGGCTCTGGCTTGCTCGCCGTGTTTCGGACTCCGGGTAAGAAAAGATCAGGGAAGATGAAAGTTACCGGAATGGATAGTTTCGTTCAATCTGTAATAAAAAGATGTAATCATAATAACTACATAGCAAGCAGCGAAACTCCGTACCGTAGAAAGGCTTCGAAAAATTTAAAGAAGATATAAATTCTAATGGCTTGGAATGAAGCTTACGACGTATTATGAAAGAGCTAAGCTTCAGATGGAAAAAAAGGACAGAAAATAATCGGAAGCTGGTAATTGAAAAAAGTAACATTCGATTACTACGAATCGAATATCTTCAAAAAATAATTAATTATACACAAAAAAGAAGACCGAATCGACCGAGTTGTAAACTACACCGATGAGCCCTATGTCGACTTATCACGATGATAGCGACTCGGGTGATGAAAACAGTGATGATGATGACGGTCAAGATTATGATAAAGAAAAAAAAAATTACAAATACCAGCTTCGCTTCAACTGAACCAAGACCTGGCAACAGCTCTAGTTTTGACTTAATAGAAGGAATATCTATTTTACCTCAAGATTAAATTATTACAATTATTAACCTATATGTTTTGTTGATGTTCTAATAAATATATAAATAAATACATATGTTGATTTTAATAATTTAATAGCATCATGACGCAGAGTATGGAATGTTTTTGCACGTGAGTGTACCATGCGCGAACTTACCCCCACTACGTCAACAAATGCTCAAGAAGTTTGCCGGATATTATACTTGTTTTCGCAAAACTTTTTGAACGTCCCAACCTCCGCCCATAACGTTCTCGGTTTAGTGTGTCCATAATATCCCCATAATTTTGCGAAGCTTTGTGTGCGTAGAACCGTACTTTAAAAATATTGCTGTATTATGGATCTAACTAATAAAAATAATTGACGTGCCACGATGTTCTTCCGGGATGAATTCAGAAACTATCTTTTTTTTATTTGGGCAGCGAGCCGAACCTCATGATAGGGTTCCGCATCTAGCTGGCGTGCGAGTTACGTGGGTCGTGACGGTCAGATGTTGAGAGTAGACCGCGGGCCCAAGGATGTTTTTATGGCTCTACCTACCAAACGACTCGCCTTGCACTCTCTCAACCGACGTTCGATCTCTACCCGGGGTCTGAACCCGGGCACAAACTAAGGGGTTCCCGCGGTCAGCACTACAAACCAGAATCGTGATGTCACTACAAGGACCCCTGATCGACAAGTCGTCGAGGCGATCGTCGATATCATATTTTCATCCCTGATACAATAATCTCTGATAGATTTGATCTTACTTTTCGACCGTGAAGTTAAGTTTGTCGGATCTTAAAAAAGGATGTACTCAAATACGATAAATCTATATATTTCGTTATTCTTAAGGGTGTGTCACAGATGTAACTGACATTAATTTTTTTGCTCAAGATCCATATTTTATTTTTTATACCATAGATAGATACTCGTATAATTTTTTTTATTTAGTGTTCCTTTTGTTTGTTAGTTTGCAGGATCTAATACTTAGAAAGTTCTGTAATAACCTTAAATAAATAAATAAAACATCAATCTGATAAAATAATACAATAAATATTACCAGCAGCCGACGAAAATTTCTCTTCTACGTCTCTTGTTTTAGCATGCCGCATGCTAAGTCCAAGTGCTGCGTTTTGAACAGTCAACACAATTAAACTGACATATTTGATGTAACCTAAAATGTTATAATAAGAATATTACGTTTCCTATAATGCAAAGCTTATTTTAATGCCAACCATAGTAACGTGGTCTTTCCATTTATAATGGGCAGATCACTGCATAGTGTTAAGTGGATACCAGCACACACAAGTACAACGTCAATACCTACCTACCTTAAGACATGAGGTCTATGTTTAAATTGTAGTATTAATTCACATGCTTCAAAGCAGAACACAAAACCGCTTCGCGACAGAAATAGGCAAGAATATGCTAGAATTTGGAGAGGTACGGTAATCATGTGTTTTAAAAACTTTAATTATTTGAATAATGTGGTATTTGTTTGGTTTATTTCTGTTTAAACATCGCAATTATTCACGAGCCTTAGATGACTTCTGAAACGACGTTCTTATTTGTTAATGTCTTACAATAATATAGTTATGAATTTTTTAAGTTTTAATATTGTATTTAATAATGTTGTATTATAAAAATAATATTTACATACATACATACATACATATACATACATACATTGTACATACATACATACAGATAATATTGTAATGTAATCAAAAAAACAAAACAGAAAAAAAAAAGCTGTCATTTAAATTAAGAGAAGAAAAAAAACTTCACATATAACTCATCAATTTATTCCATTGTAGGGTTAATCATGTACATATTATGATTCTTATGTTAAATATAATCAGGGCTCTATTTTGTTTCCTGTTTGGAGTCAGTGTCTTTACTATTAATATCTGACATTTGGGATTTTAATGTGTTCCTATTGCTTATATGTAATACTGGTACCATTACAGTAGAATATTCTAGCTTAGAACTGTTGATGATATACTATTAGACAGTTTTATTATAAATGCATTTTTAATTTAAGTTCTGTCCTATATTATATTGAAACTTGCATTTGTGTCACTATTGTTGTTTTGATTTATTTTTCTCAGGCACATGTCTGAGCCCCGTGAGAGGATTCTAAGTGGGTTTTTGTTTTGAGTCTTGGTAGTCTGCCTACACTCTCTTACTCTTGAGTCTGATTTAATTATTGCTGTCAGTTTTGAGGCATACTAGCAAGATAATTAAACCTTCAACAGTGCAGTAACCGGATTCCGAAGGGACCAATTGTCATTTTAATCGTTTTAATTATTCAATTGATGAAAGGTTAAATGTTTCCACTACACTCCTACTATTTACATTAAATTCCTAACTATGTATCTATACTATTTCCTATTTTGAATAACTATTTTGAAATATAAATTGTTATCTTAAAACTAATTTTACTGCCGTTTTACTAAAAGGTTTCTTCTTCAAGATATACAAATATAATATACAAAAGCATAAGAAACATCTCTATTCAGTGACAAGTTTTTGAAGCTGTCCGTGTGCATTTTTTTAATTTGCTTTACTTACCAAATTTAACTCTCTTGTTTGGTGACTGGCTGTGGGATTTTTTTGAAATATTGTCCATGTTCAGCTCAGGGTTCAGTTCTGTCTCTGGAGTCGGGGCACCTTCTAGTTCCAACTCTTCTCTGACTGGATTCATCAAGTATTTAAAGAAATTTGTAAACACTATAAACAGTAAAACTCAATCCAGTACATACATCATTTAGATAATATTTATCATTTCCATTAAAATTACATAAAAGATTAAGTACTATATCAGGTAACATTAAAAAGATATAGCCTTACATATCAGAACTTCAGATTCTGAAGCAATAAGTACTAACTTATGTTTGTAATTATTTAGATAAAGCAATTTAATAATAGATCGAAGATAAAGTAACAGTAAACATTAAATAATGTCTCAAGACTCTCAAGTTAATTTAACTTTCAAGCTAAATAAGTATGATTATATTCTGTATTTGGTTTTATGTATACATAAAATAGAGCTCAATTGTTATTAAATTATCATTATTATTTGATTTTGTCATAAAAGGTTTTGTTTGTATTTATTTACCATTAGATGAGTACGAAGTACGAGATTTCCTTTGACACAATTTGAGATTCAGATTTGACAACACATAGACTTGTGGCGTTTAAGTACGCACCTTTTTATGATGCGTAAGCCGGAACGCACGCGATGTGGGAAACGGAATATAGTCTGTGCCACGAGACCTTTTTACCGCCAAATATTTAAAACGTAAAAAATAATTTTTAATGTGTATATGTGTGTAATTTATTATAATTACTTAGAATTGTTTATGCTGCTACAACAATAAAATTTATATTGTTTCAACTGTGGTGTTAATTACATAAAACACGACTTTACGGCGAAATAAAGAAGGGACTCTATATGCACTCCCTCATTGGTGACTTCGACGTGATCGATCGTTACAAATAGAGATCGAGTACAAACCATATACACCTGGCACAGCATCCAGACAAGGTCGAGTACAAACCATATACACCTGGCGCAGCATTCAGGCAAGATCGTCTACAAACCATATACACTTGGCGCAGCATCGCCGCGTGTTGGACGGTTTAATTTGAGGGAATTGGGTTCTGTAGGTTGATGAGGGGCTATTTAAAAACACAACTGCTTCATTAAAAATTATATTGCAGATTGCTTGAACACTTTTACACTATTATACAATTTTATCTTTATATTTTTTTTAATGAAACTATTACATGTTTTTCATGCCGTGTCTAGATGAGAAGTCACTGACATTTTCTTACGAGAATACAATGATCTGTTTTTTAAAACATTTAAAATAATTCCAATATTCGAAATCTAATCAAGTGTCAAGTGTTGCCTGCCATTACATTTAATATACAAACTCCAACACACCCCCTCAACACTTGCACACATTTTTCTCCGTCTATAATTTAATACCAAAAAAAATGACGCTAACCTGACCTTCATAAATTAATTCTTTCCATACATACCTAAAAAACCTCACAACCACTTACATTCCGTTACTTCTACATAATCCCTCTCAATTCAACCAACAACTATTCATTCAACCTTTCAAACTTAATACTATCTTTAATGTCGCTACCTTTAATCCTTTCTTACTTCTCCAACTCCAATTCGATCAAAAATGTACTTTCATTCAACCATACAACCATTCAACCTTAACTTCCCTCTTGACTCACTATATAAAACCTTAACTATAATAGTCTAACTCCTTCTCGACTTCCTACATAAACTCTTCAAGTTTATTTAAAACTTTTAACGCCTTCTCAACCTCTTTAATAACCTTAAACGCCTTCTCAACCTCTTTAATAACCTTAAACGCCTTCTCAACCTCTTTAATAACCTTAAACGCCTTCTCAACCTCTTTAATAACCTTAAACGCCTTCTCAACCTCTTTAATAACCTTAAACGCCTTCTCAACCTCTTTAATAACCTTAAACGCCTTCTCAACCTCTTTAATAACCTTAAACGCCTTCTCAACCTCTTTAATAACCTTAAACGCCTTCTCAACCTCTTTAATAACCTTAAACGCCTTCTCAACCTCTTTAATAACCTTAAACGCCTTCTCAACCTCTTTAATAACCTTAAACGCCTTCTCAACCTCTTTAATAACCTTAAACGCCTTCTCAACCTCTTTAATAACCTTAAACGCCTTCTCAACCTCTTTAATAACCTTAAACGCCTTCTCAACCTCTTTAATAACCTTAAACGCCTTCTCAACCTCTTTAATAACCTTAAACGCCTTCTCAACCTCTTTAATAACCTTAAACGCCTTCTCAACCTCTTTAATAACCTTAAACGCCTTCTCAACCTCTTTAATAACCTTAAACGCCTTCTCAACCTCTTTAATAACCTTAAACGCCTTCTCAACCTCTTTAATAACCTTAAACGCCTTCTCAACCTCTTTAATAACCTTAAACGCCTTCTCAACCTCTTTAATAACCTTAAACGCCTTCTCAACCTCTTTAATAACCTTAAACGCCTTCTCAACCTCTTTAATAACCTTAAACGCCTTCTCAACCTCTTTAATAACCTTAAACGCCTTCTCAACCTCTTTAATAACCTTAAACGCCTTCTCAACCTCTTTAATAACCTTAAACGCCTTCTCAACCTCTTTAATAACCTTAAACGCCTTCTCAACCTCTTTAATAACCTTAAACGCCTTCTCAACCTCTTTAATAACCTTAAACGCCTTCTCAACCTCTTTAATAACCTTAAACGCCTTCTCAACCTCTTTAATAACCTTAAACGCCTTCTCAACCTCTTTAA